GAAGTCTTGCTCTGCGGCACATCGTTGATATACACAAGAAACAGGGTCGGTCCGAGGACCGAACCCTGGGGTACGCCCGACGTAATGTTCCGTTCATCCGAACGTGTGCCCCCATATACCACCTGCTGACTTCGGTCAGTGACAAAATGTGACAGCCTGGTTAGCAACGGGCCCTCTATGCCAGCATCGTGCAATTTAATTCCGCCTCGGGGTGGTCAGATTGAGTGCGTCAAGGGCGTTGCTCAGGTCCAATTGCTCCAGGTCCGTTGCCACCCGGCTGTCCACGTTGTCGCTGACGAAATGTACCACAGTAGCGAGAGCAGTTTCGCAACTCTTGTCTCGGCGAAACCCATGCTGCGACGGTGATATGTAACGACTTTCCTCGAGAAAGTCTAAGAGGTGCGCATTTAAAACTCTCTCAAACGTCCGGCACACAATTGATGTGATGAACACAGGACGGTAGTGCCGGGGGTCATCGGAGGGCTTCCCATGTCCCTTGTGAACGGGGCTAACCAGGGCTCGTCGCCAAGGGTTTGGCACGACGCCCTGATCCAGAAGGCCCTGGAAGACTGTGGAGAGTGAGGGTAGAGCATGGAGGGAGATGAGTTTGAAAAAAACAGGGGTCATCCCGTCTGGTTGAGCACCTTGGGTGGGTCTGATCTTGCTGATAGCCTCCTGTAGCGCTTCCGATGTGAAGGCGATGGAGGAGAGAGCGGTTCGAGAGCCGTTGAGCGGGCTCTCTTGAAGGTGGCCATGTAGTTCAGAGCTATCTGGACTATCGGTTGCAGAGGAGCTGTCGACCGAAGAAAATTGGTCGGCAAAGAGCTGGGTGATTTCCTGCGACTTGTCCGTAACTCGGTTCTCGTAGGTAAAACAGGGTCGTTGGGTTGACGTTCTTAATCGGCTAATGTATGCCCAAAACACCTTGGGGTCATCCTTGGCCTTCATTACGATTCCTTGGGCATATCACTTTTGAGCGACACAAATGGCTGTCTTTTGTCGTCGTTGGTGGTCCTTAGCTAACTGGAGTGTGACAGGACATTTGTTACGGGCAGCCTATTTGAATAGAGAGCGCTTGACCCTAGCAGCTTTGATGATGTCAGATATCCAGGGGAGTGCCTATGCTTTGTGCTCCTTGTGGTGCATGGGACACAGTCCTGCCGAATCGCCAACGCAAAGTCGCATCACAAGTCGTAGTTGGCCAGGCTGTCTTCACCAGATGTCAGGCACCATGGTGCAAGATGGGCAAGCATGGCCAAGTTCCACAGGTCTGCTTGGTCGTACTTCCACAGCTTCCGTGCAAAACACCCTCTGCGGGGCACACTCACTGCGTAGGCAAGTTCAATAGCACTATGATCACTACCGGGTATACCGCTGGAGACTTCGCAAGATAAAAAACGTGTTGCATCCGACGTGAATACAAGGCCCAGGTAACTGGGTGTACCACTCCGGGTTGCATATGTTGGCTCCGTACAAATTTGGGCGAATCCAGCAGTCGTCACCACGTCAAGCAGAACATCATCAGTGTTGTCTCTAAGAATCGGCTCGTCTTGTGTGAGCCAATCAATGTGGCAATTGAAGTCGCCAATCACAAGGATGTTGGCATAGATTTTCTGTGATGCCGTCTGCAATGATCTTTCGAGCAGCCTGTACGATTCCTCGTGGGACGACGGCGGGCAATAAATACAACACACAAGTATGGTGCCCCGGGGAATATGATACTCAACAGACAGTGCTTCCAAATCCTGATGCTCAAGATCTGTTCAGCGGTGAACACGAAACTGTGCCGGAATCGCCATAATGACGACGCCGCCAACACCCTTCCGGTCCTTCCTGAAGATAGTGAAGGCGTTGAGGCTGAGTAGCTCACAATCGGTTACGCTAGAATCCAACCAAGTCTCCGAGAGAAGGAGAGTTGTGTTTTCTGGAAATGAGGCACAGAGTGATTGGAAGTCTTGCAACCTGTTTTTCAAGCTCCGACAGTTGTTATACCAGAAGTTTGCGGTCATGTTAATGCTTGCCGGGCGTGTGATAGGCGTTGAAGTGCCAGAAAGCGCAGGATTTTCAAGAGAACAGCAGGCACCGCCGCCTACAATGGAGGTCAAAAGGGGGTCTGCTGTTTTTGTGTCATCGAAAATGTCGTCGGAAAAAGGGGGGAGAGAACACTGAAAGCAGTGCCACGGGTTATCGCAGCGGCTTAGGCGTCTATACTCCTGGAGAGGCATGTAAACACATCGTCGGTGGCACCAGCGATCACACGAGTCGCAGCACAGGGCCGCTTGGTGATCAAACACAGCCTTGTTGCAGCGCGTACAGGCCGGTGCAAGAGGGCCGGGATTGGCAGCAACGTCCCCACTAAGGAGTAGGGACGGGCTGTGCGACAGCGATGATAGTAGCAGAAAAGCGGTGCTGGCGGTACGGGCGGTGAAGCGGCGGCGTACCGGGTCCGTTGCTGTTGGTGGGAGGCTTAAGCCAAATACCGTGGAAGCCAATACTGGCAACTCCCGCGGAAAACGGGCGAAAAGTGATTGCAGCGCCCCTGGCGAGCTCGGAGTCTCCGCTGGCAGACAAATTCTCCAAAATGCATTGGTTTTGCCTATCTCCGTGCGAGGTGACCAACGAAAAAAAATTGTCATGGTCATTCGCTGCTTTAAAAGTTAAAAAATGGGTGCCAGCTCATGAGTGAAAGACATTCTCTTCGCGTGGGAAAGATGTTACAGCTTTCTGGGTGCAATTTCGGAGTTCTCCCGAAGAAAACATTCTGTCAAAACTTATGTAAGCCAAGCAAAACACGAATGTATGCCTTCGCGCTGTTTCGTGAAAAAGGGAAATGTACAAACATTTCAGAACATAGCTTCGTTTCAACTTTATTGTTGTTATCAGTCAATTCGTTTTGTCGTTGTAATTCCCATTTCTCATGAGTGTCTTGCTTATAACCGTTTCGTCGAACAGGCGAGCTGGCTAATCCCGTTAAGATCGTCTCCGGATGAAGAAGCAGAAGTCAATTTCGAACCACGTACGTTACGGCGATGTCAGTATGCTCCGAAAGAAGGCGTTGTGCATATGCAAATCTGACGCGATTATAGATTAACAAAAGCGGAGTTACGAAAAAAGCAGACTTCTCGCGCTTGCAAAGAAAGAAGGGGAGAGCGTCGTAGCCCCGCGAAAAAAAGATGATTTCAGTCACGTTATTTACAGTGCACAAATTCCGATTGTTAGCGCGGGGACGACCAACATCTTCTGCTTCGCTGCTTCTTTACTTCTACAATAAAGGCCGACAGCCGTTGAACCGTCTTCACTCTTTCCATTTTTGAGTCTTCTTTCTTTTATATTTTTGAGGCGACGCCACTCTGCCGCGTTATTTCTTCCTCCTGCTTATATTTTGCTGTGTATATGTTTGCTTTTTTTTTTTTTTTTTTTTTTTTGCCCGATGTGTAAGCAATCGCGTATCCTTGCTTGGCTTAGTTTCTACTCCCTTTCCTTCGCTTCGGCGCTTACTACCCCCGGTTCGTCTGCGCCAGGCCCGGGCATTTTGAGGGCCGTCTGCAACTTTGCTGCTGTTGTTGTTGTTTTCTTCCACTGTCGTCTCCGATAACCTCCTATTTTCGCCTTCGATTGAGTTTCTAATCCAAAATCGTCATACGTGCTTTTTGATATTTATTAAATATATTAAGAAGTGTAAGCTCGTTACCCATTTTTATTCGAATTTTATTTGTGTACTCCGGCCGGCTCGTCTGCTACGGGTCATCGTTTGTTGATCAACCGGCCGCATTCAAGAACAAGTTTGTGCGATGTGGTGCCTACCATTGCAAGAACAAGTTTGTGCGATGTGGTGGAAAATCTTTCTTCTGCTTCCTACGTCAACCTACGGACACCTACGTCAACAAGTACTTGAATGCACTTTTAAACTGCTTCGTCAAGCGAGCGAACGAACAACCCGCCAAAGTCACTGGAAAAAGAAATTCGAAAGCAAAAAAAGGTTACTCACTGCTAGCACATATAGAAGATTGCTGCCTGCGACCAAAACATTTCTGCGACTCTTTTTTACCGGGCAGTGTGAGCTGCACTACGTTAATATTTCCCTTGTTTTGTTTTTAGTTCGTACCTACGCCGCGAAAGCAAATAAAACAATGTACAACAAGCAGCTGAAAAAAAAAAAGGTCGCTTTCTTCTTTTTTCGTTAGTTTCGTCTGTTGCTTCCGCTTTGTTTGTCGTGAACTCAACACCGGTGGCGACCACCAGCTATTCATTTGCTGCTTTACATTTTTGTTTCTTTTTTTCTATAAGCGCCGCAACGATCGTCGTCGTTGAAATAGTTTTTTGCTGGCTTCTTTGTTTTATTCGCCGTTCGTTTTCTTTCCCGTTTCTTCTTATTTTCGTCGGGAATGGCGACACCATTTTTTCTGCAAAGTTCGGTAAGTGTTTGCACGTTCATTTTTATCCTTTTTGTTTTGTTTTTATGCTCCAGCAGCTCGTGCGCTTGCTCTGATAATATTAACATGTCGTTTTTGCATGTTTTAACGATTACGACGTAGTTCGAGTAGCTAAACGCCTTTTTTCCGCTTCCCAGACGCGTTTCAAACGCGTGTGATCCCCTGGGAGGCGTTTGAGACCGCTAAATAAACTGCTCTATCTTTGTTTATGCGCGCGTTGTTATTCGATTGTCGTTGCAGTTGCGATCAGTGGATTCCGCTTTGCAAGCGAACTGACCGTAATAAATTGTTTCTGTTGTTAGGGTGACGATACGGGGCTCGTAAAGTTCGAGGACGTCGCGGAGCCTATACTTTTCCATTGCGACGACTGCTTCCGTAGACTCCGAGTCCGCTAGAGGCGCCACTGTCACGTTCGCCGCCGCTCCTATGTGTTTTCGGAGGAGTTTCCAGTATAGGACCGAAGCGCTCAAGTTTCGCCGCCGACTACAGCGCCATTCCAGCCCCTGGCGGGACGCCCGAGTCCGAGTGGCTCGTGGTTTTTCGCCTCGCTTCTCCGTCGTAGGCGGTTGGATATAACATTCGTTGCGATGGAGACGATATAAAAGCCCGGCTAGCACGAATATTTCGTTGTTGATCGCAGCAACAATCTCCGATGTTGTTGTAGTCGATCCTTAAAATTCTACCGCTTCCCTGAAAAGCCGTGCGAGACTCGAACGGCGCCAAGCCTGGACCACGTCGGTGCTCCGACAAAAGTAAGTTTCTCGTTCGTTGGAAGATCAGTTTTGCTAAATACGCGGGAAAAACTAAATAGAATTGGTGTCAGAATAGAATCAGAATCACTACCGAACGCGGGAAAGTCAGTTGGCAGTGCCTGCGTGACGGAATATCTGATTTTTGTGCGCGTCTGTCGCTTCCCTCGAGGTGTTTGACGGGGCTTCGGTCGCGATGTTGGATCCCTTTGGCACGAATATTTCAACTACAATCACTGGCAGGGTGAGAACGGCAGGGAGAAGCTTCAGTTCCTCCAGCACTAGCTTCGAACCGTCGACAGGGTTTCTATCTCGCGACAGTCGAGCGTTCACGTGCAGCCATATCGCAACGAAGGGCAACGAAGACGTGCTGGAGCTCGGCCGTTCACAAAAGACGCCCTGCCTGCCGTTCTGACTTTGTCAGAACACTTCTAGCTAGGGGAGGGGCTTTTGGGGGTTGCGATTGCAGCTTTCTTCTGCCGTGTGTGTTTCTTAATCGCTGTTCCCGTTTTTTTTTTTTAGCTGTTTATAGCCATCATGTACGACGCTATAATATACACGTGCATCCCCCCCCCCCCCTCCCAAACAACACACAGGAATGCACTTCCAAACAGCCTCAACCAGCCAGCACCCCCCCCCCCCCTCTTCCTTTTTAAAATAAAAAGAAAGCCTGATTATGTTTTCACTTGCTAGGGACAATAACAGTTTCTATTATTTCGTGTCGATTTTCTGCTGATCACACCAGAGGTCTTATATTATTGACTTATTTTTCAGTGGGGGCGGTTCAGTTTTGATTCCGCCAATGTCAGCGAGGATCTGCAGCGTGCACTTCGTGAACACCTGCAAGGACAACGCTGAGGCTCATCCTGCAACAAGTCACTAGACGAGATGCCAGCTGAGGTGTTTAATAAAGACTAATTGCAGGAAACCTACCAACCCTGTAATTGCTCGTGAAAGATTCTTAGTTAATTTAAATTAATTTTCACTCCCTCGCTCGAAGATGCAGATGACCTTTCCTCATCTATGTTGCATTTTCTATATGTGCCTGGTTCTTAGCCAGTTAAAAGTATCGTTAGTTGATTGACAACTTCTGTAGTCTCTTTCGTTTTCGAGTTGCACGTTTTGGTTTAGTCTGTACCCCAAGATTCAATATAGCTTGGCTAAAGATGGATAAGCTTAGGTGACGACTGCTTTCTCACGAACTGGGAGACATCTTTCGTGAGATCTGGAATATCTTGAACAGCTGATCTGCCGTGCAAGACCTCTGAAATAGTCGGGGTTCTCGGCCCTACAATTTCTTGGACAGTCCTTGCTTCTCGAGATGTGTACATCATCTGCAAGTGTCCTGCCAGCCATACTTCGAGTCTGCGCCAATGTCACCGTGTTAAGAGCACGAGAAGAATTTTTATATTGTCACAAGGTTGTGTGTTTACCTACTCGTGGTTGTGACAAAACTCAATAAAAATCGTTTTCACTGTCAACAAAACATTTCTGAAAGCGATGCATTATGCTGCTGTACCATATTTTCCAGACTATAGTCCACAGGGGCAAATTTGGGGTAAAGAATAGATTTTGCTTACATTGTACACATACAGTGCATCGTCTGCACCTGGTGCTTAGTTGTCACGAATATCCTCTCATAGACAGCACACCTTGAGAAATGTCTGCTTTCTTAGTGCAAAAAGAAGCTGGTATTATACATAAATTATCATTAACATACCCTTTCATTCACAAAATCCGTCTCGTCATAATCAACGATATTGGAAAACAAAAATCCCGCATAGTCCGCACAGCCTAAAATTTTTATTTTTAAAAGCATAGCCCGGAAAATACGGTACATTCCTGGAAACGCTTGAAAACATGCCAACATGCCACGAAAGAAACTTTATTCAGTGAAGCAGCAATGAAGCACTGACAGGCATGGATTATTTTTCCAGAAAATAAAAATTGTTCTACTAATGACAACCTATCATGTGTCACCGGTGTTTTTTTTGCTACACAACATTTTCCTCCTAAAATGTCCCACACAGTAAAGTATGAATCAAGCCCCCACCCAATATTTGAAAATCTTGCATGTGAACTGGACAACTTGAACCTGAAAGAGAAATTAAGTTTTTTTTATAAATCCATCCAACTGAACATTGTCATGAAAATTCGACTAAAATTATGTGCAGTGATATGCATAGCAGACATTTATGCTGGAGATTTAGTCTAGGCTAGCCTCTTTTCGTTTTCAACTGTTTTGCCCCTCTTTCTGACAGAATCTCGCGGCACATTATTGTTCAAACTCGCAGAAAAAGTACCATCAATCAGCAGGAGCAGGCCCCCAGTAACTGCAACCTACTGCCTCAGTGAAGTGGGACAAAAAAACCTGGTAATAAATCTACGAGGCCTTTGTTCAGGTCGTGCCCTGGCGTTTTAGTTCCCTACTGCTGAGGCAGGCTGATGAGGACGCGTGTTCAACAATACTAATAAAATTACGAGCGTCGGCACAATGCTCGCACCGGTCCGCGACTCCAGCCCAGCGAGGACCTGCAGTCTCAACTGTACGCGGGGGACTTACCTCTTCCCGGAATTATCACCCTATGCCCGCACGATCCCCGACACGTTAATATTTCTTCGACGTGGGCGAGCCCGAAAAGCTATCCCACTCGTAGCCTCCAGTGCGAGAACGTAGTCTGCCGGTGGTTCAGCGACCGAAAAATAGTATCCCGACGTCGTCTAACAGGATTCACGAGAACAGTGGTTCATTGTGATCAGTAATCTTTAAGGCACAATGTTATTACAGCGCAAAATTTAAACAAGTGCCGCTCACCTGTAAAGTTATCTCGTAGACGCCGCACGGCCGTACTTGCGAGGCGGACCCGACTCGTTGGCGGGGAAATCAACCGCTTTCTCGGTGGAAGATGCGTGTTATTGAAGCTTTTCTATCGTTTCTTGACTCACGATGAGAAATATTTCTCGCACGCTTTCTATGCTTCTCTAAATCTTCACCGTACGCTCGAAATACCTGCGACGCCAATGCAACGCTACGAGCACGACCAGCGCGACACGACCATGTGTTGTACTGCGGTGGCGCTACCATCGCAATTGCGAAGCACCCCCTGGTTGGGCGGATCGATTCTATTGGCGAAGCTATATTGTATTTGCTTAAGCCTTGCAGGCTGAGTAGAGGCCAGCGTTGTAGCGGCGCTGGGACAGGTGAGCACGGGACGAAGGCGCCACAAGCGCGGCGTCCAACTGCGGGAGCATGGTGCGAATACAGGGACACCACGATGGTGCGTAAGAACGGGACTATCACCGCTGTAAAGCGAAATTGTTCGGAGCACCCGCGGCGCAGTTCTCTGCCAGCCGCCATTTTTTTTTCATCTCCGATAGGAACTTTTCCGGAATCCAGATGGCACTGGGGAGGAGCCCCCCCCCCTTAAAGGGGCACTCAAGTGGTTTTTGGGGAAGCTACTTTTTGGTGCGATGGCATTAAGGAAGTGTCAGTGAATGAGTATCTTCAGTTCTAGAAGGATGAACCGCCTATTAATCACGCAGAAATAAAATACGTGCGGCCTCTTTTCTGTTCCTGCGCCGACCAATGAAATTATCGTATGTTTCAAAATTTTGGCGGCCTTTTTAAAGTTTCGCTAAAAAAACATTTTTTTCAGTTCATTTAAATATGTTGTGCATGATAATTTCACAAGACGTAAAATATTTCTAGTTTAGAATACGCCCTGCGTTTTCTTCTTGCCTTCGTCCGCGGGGGGTGAATTTCCCGTTCCCTCGGGATGCGCGGAAGCGGACGTATCATGAACTGCAAACATGGCGTCGGTGGTGATCGTCGACGTGGACGGTATGGTGAAAGCTCGTTCCACGTAAAAGCGCCATCCTTGACTGTGAATTTTTTTCGCGTGTCGCTATGATAACCCAGCACGTACTATACTTCGTTTCAGCTTCGGTCCGAGCGCGGCCGATGTTATAAGCCAAAGGGACAATCAAACAGCGTAAAGAGCGCAACGTCATGGCGTGCTCTCTGCGCTTGATAGGACTAGCCGGCGGAGGAGCACGCACAGAGAGACGGCGAATACCGGCTGGTCCTATCAACTGCAGAGAGCACGCTATGACGTTGTGCCTCTTTCGCTGTTTGATTGGCCCTTTGGCTTATAACATCGGTCGCGCTCGGACCGAAGCTGAAACGAAGTATAGAAGCGGCTATGTTGTGGCGGCACTCTCAAAACAGGAGAAACCCTCGTGCCGTCGTGTTTGTTTACTTCGACTAGAGTGGTGCTTTCTAAGCATTTCTGTCCTCGAACATCGCCCGGATTTCTGATTTGGCGGATTTCATGCGTGTGCTCAAGTTCAAGGTATTACTGGCGCGTACCGTATAAAGGATGCGAATTTCACGCATTTTCATCACCGGAAAAAAATGTGATTAGTGTTAGCAGTCCTGAACGCTCGCAACGTTTATCTGATCACAAAATCATATTTCTACGTTGCTATATCGCTGCTAAGATTACATCGTCTTTTATAATCGTAGAAAGGCGTGTGGCGATATTTGTACTATTGGAAAAGTCGTGTATCAGAGTCATGATCGTCCAAGACGGCGTACTGCATATTTTTCTTTTTTTTCATCCACTGTACCCTACAAGCCTATGATGAAAAAATAATAATAAAGCTTTAGGCTATAGAAAACTGTCTGTCTATATTCGGTTACGGCATTGAGTGGCAGTGCGTCCCCTTTTTAGAGGCACCGCTGAAACAGCTGACGGCGGCGTAGAAGCGGTCGCCGTGCTGACGACCCGCTGCGCTTGTTGCAGCGGTTGCAGGTGTAAGCACGCGCGGCGCAGTGCGGTCGTTCCGGTTGCTTCGATTGCAACGGTCGCAGTCGTAGTTAACGCGCTCGTTGCAAATGTCTGAACCAGCCTTCCCCGTCCTCCCGAGGCGAAAGTCAACGTGGCGACATCGTTTGACATCACGTACCAGAGGTAACGCTGCGATGTCAAACGTTGGTTTGGTTACGACTTGCCCCAACCGCAAATCGAAGAACGCCCGAAAAGGTCTGCGTTTCGTCGTCCTCGGAACCCGCACATGACTCCGAAGCTCTGCTATCGTCCACATCGCACGTCGGAGTGGCGTCATAGGAAATCATCCCCAGGCCGGCTGTCCGCCGAAGAATTTCAACCTCTAACGGCGTCGGGTCCTCGAGCGTAGAGAGTTCCGCCATGATTGAAGCTCGAATGACAAAGAGGTTCGGCCGGTGCGTCTACCTCGGGATCACTGCGCGACGGAACGTCGTCCAACACCATTGGCCCGAGATCGTTTTGATATGCGAGCGGTGACCAATGAGAGTGGTTTCGTTTTCGGATGGATCCGAGGTTCGGCGGCCTTCAATTACATTTTTATTAAAGAAATAATCACCGTATGACTATTTTTTTTAATTATTTTTAGGGACTTAGGGCGTCTAAATTCAGTTGTCATCATCAAAACACGACATCAAAAACCACTTCAACCCACCCATCCCGTCACCCCACCCTGCAAGCTGCGAGAATTTTTTTTGTTTTTCTTTCTGCAGTTTAGAAAGTCGATGGCAGTGAGGGCTGTGTGCCTCCAAGCCCATCACGAAGAAGGCTGTTTGTGCCATTCTTACCGGATTAGGAAGAAAAAACGCGGTTACAGAACGCCTCATTTCGCTGCCCGGTTTTACTTCGGGAAAGCATCTGGCTCCGTTTTTCGGGGATTTCCAAATACCATGTAGATAGCTGATATCGTCAATACAAAAACGAAATATGCCATACATTTCTTTTGTGGTGTTGTGTCATAAATTAAAATATTGCGAAATAATCTGCCACAAGTCGGAATGCCGTTGCGTCCTAAATAGCAGCCCCTCGGAGCCTACTTTTCATTCCAGCGAAGCAGTGCTTTGAAAAATAAAGCTACTCACTCT